CATGCACAATTTCTAGCAACAGAAAGAGTTTCATTATGACAGAGAAATTGACGAGGGTTAACCAAATCCCATTTACCCGGGTTAAAAGTTGACGGAGAAAAAAATAGTTTAACTGCTTCATATATATATATATATATATATATATATATATATATATATATATATATATATATATATGTATATATATATATATATATGTATATATATATATATATATATATATATATATATATATATATATATATATATATATATATATGTATATATATATATATATATATATATATATATATATATATATATATATATATGTGTGTGTGTGTGTGTGTGTGTGTGTGTGTGTGTGTGTGTGTGTGTGTGTGTGTGTGGACTGGTTCTCAATAGTCATTAGACCTGTTAAATTCTTCTTACTGCTGAATTGATGACACACACACACACACACACACAAAACAAAAGTGTATGAACCGAGCAATGCTTATGCCCGTTGATCGATTTCAACCGTTGTAATGATCAATACATTTTCTTTCGTGTTCTCCTTGTTTTTGTTCCGTTAGGGATAGTTGGAATTTCACTACTCTGCCTTTGTGTGTGTGTTTATATATATATATGTATGTATGTATCTAACGTTCGAATTGTGTTTTGATTCATCTCAGTTATCGCATTTACCGGATCTGAAAAGCAGATCATGCGTCTTCAGCATTTTCGTAGCCGTTTCTTTGATTTGCGGTGTTTACTTTATCGGCGGTGCTTGGTTTAACAAAGATTTATTCAGGGTATATATAAATTCATCCAACACTCCTTTAATATATATACACACACACACACACACACACACACACACACACACACATATACATATACATATATATGTTTCGTCTATTTTCTCGAATTGGTTGAATATTCCCGTCATTTTATTTTCGAAAAGTCAATTTATTTTGGAAATTTGGAAAAATATTAGGTGAAATCATTCCCCTTCTTTGTTCACTGATTTAACACAATTTCCACTAATCGTCTTCTTGTCATTGAGTTCCGTTTCTTCGCAAAAGATAAAATATTCGAAATACCTTTTTTTAGCTTAAATATTGAACCTGAGGTGGCTCTGACTTGAGCTACGTCGTAACATTTTCTGTGTCTTGAGTAATAATTATTTATTTATTTAATTAATTCTAAGAGGCATTATTTCCGTGTTTGTTGCATGAAATGGAATGTGTCGACAATGCAGTTATCGCCTGGATTTCGAATGAACACGACGCAGCAACATACAGACACTTATAAATGCGAGGTCGGTCTTCATATTATGGCTTTATTTTTTTCAGCATTTAAATTCCTACAAAAAATTACGAAAATTTTTTAGAGTACTGATAATTTCGTTACTTATTGTGCATGATTATGAAGTCTATTTTGAAGGTACCGTCACCGGAAATACAAGTGTTGAACGATACCAGGGTACAACTCTTTACAGCCTGTCTCTTTAAATTTAAAAATATTTATATAATTTCCTATTAACTCACCTGTATATAATTCCGATATAATCTTTAATTTGAAGGTATCATCACCGGAAATAAAAATCAACGACACCAGCAAAAATACGCACCTCGAGAAATGCAATGTTTGTCACCTCTACTATTTTCGTCGTTTTTTTTTGTCTTTACTACTTACCTAAACTTAATTTTTTTTTATTTAGCAAAAATGCAGGCCCGTTGGTAGTGAAGCGTTGCCTAACGGCATTATTTCAATACACGCAAACATGGAAATGCGTCCTCTTTGGGGTCCCGTTTCAGAAGATGTATGCATAGTTTTCAACACCTTGTCGTAATTTATTTATATAATCATTCTTTTTTTTTTTTTTTTATTTACTACATATACGCGTTATATTTGAATCAGAACAAGCCAAAGCATGGAACCGGTTTGTTAGCCGTTGCAGTTGGGATAAACCAAAAAGAATTAGTGAACAAAATTGTTAAAAAGGTAGTATTTTTATCATGTTTTTTGTTTAGGGCAAATTACGGTCACACCTCTGAGTAAGCTCAAATTACAAAAACCCTTCTCATGTTTGGATAATTACAACCACCCCCTGAACTATGTATTGTCTTACGAAAAAACCCCTCCTTTAGTATGTAAATTTGATACCGTAAGGGTGGACGTGTAAGACAATACATAGTTGAGGGGGTGATTGTAACTTGTAAGTATCCAAACAGGAGGCGGTTTTTCGTAATTTGAACATATCGTGAGGGAGGTGGCCGTAATTTGCCCTTTTTTTAATTATTATTTTTGGGTATTTAAAAATTAAATATTTGGTGCAGTTTCTTGAAAATGATTTCGTTGTGATGCTTTTTCATTATGACGGATTTGTGGATAAGTGGCACGATTTCGATTGGAGCAACCGAGTACTTCATATCTCCGTAAAAAACCAAACCAAATGGTAATGATTCTTCTAGAGCTTGTCTTAAATAAAACTAAGTTACACCTCGTACTTTAATCTTGCATAATGCATATGGAATTTACTCTTTTACCCCTGTCTTGAATAGGTGGTTTGCCAAACGATTTCTTCATCCGGATATTGTTGCTGAATATGAATACATTTTTCTGTGGGACGAGGATTTGGGAGTCGAAGATTTTCATCCCAAACGGTATTTTATTTATGTACATTCTTGATTCTTGATTTCTATATGTTTTTTTTTTTTTTTTTTATATACTTTCAATTGGAGTTAGTTATATAGGTTTGAGCTGCATTGGGCTCGTATGTTATAAAAAGTTCGTCTTTCACATAAAATTGAAAATCGTAGAAAATAGGATGCTTGTAAAGAGAATAAAAACATTATTCAAAGTTTGTCTGATTTTTATTTTTATTTTTATTTTTATTTTTATTACAGGTATATATCTATTGTTAAGGAAGAAGGTCTCGAAATTTCACAGCCTGCACTCGATCCTGGTAAATCCGAGGTTCATCATCCCATTACTGCACGCAGGCACAAATCAAGGGTCCACAGGTTAGATAATTTGTTAAATAATTAAATATTCACATATTAGAAAGCGTAATTTTTTAATTTTTTAATCGGGTTCTTTCTTCATTTTCTTGCATGTTACAATTTGTCTTAAACTATTATATTCTCTGTAATAAAATAGGAGATACTATAAGTTCAAAGGTAGTGGAAGATGTGACGAGAAAAGTACTTCTCCCCCGTGTGTCGGGTAAGCATTAAAATACTTATCAATTTTTTTATCTATTTATTCAAATTGCAGTCTTTTTGTCTAAATTCAAACTTCCCGCCATTTTTCACTTTCGCGTTCTAAAAAAGATTTAACATTTTTGATAATGTGTCGTTTAAATTGTGATGTGCAGTTGGGTGGAAATGATGGCTCCGGTTTTCTCGAGAGCGGCTTGGCGTTGTGTTTGGTATATGATCCAGGTACTCGATTTTGATGACTGATTTTTATTCAAATTTTGAGTCGCATCGTATTATGTTTTTGAGTATAAGGACTCGGATTTAGGGGTGGAAATTGGACCGATCGGATTGGAATTAACACCTTTGAAAAGTTTCCAAATTTTTTTTCCAAAAAGCAAAATCTAATTCCAATTCCGTTAAGAAAAAAAAGATTTGAAATCGGAATTTTGAAAATTGGTGTGAAAAACATTGTTCCAAAATCGGAAATTTTCGGATGGCGAAACTCGGAATTGTCAATTATTTAGTTAGCTATAATGTAAAATACAATTATTTTCCGAAATTAAAATCGGATCGGAAATCAGAATATAATATGTATTCCAATTCCGTTGTAAAATCCCCGGAAAATAGGAAAGCGGAATTCCAAATTGGAAATATCCGGATCGAAATTGGCCGAATATGGAAATTCCGTTCCAATTTCCACCCTTAGTTAAATTACCCGTGATGTTTCGGGTTTGCCCGCAATTATGAAAACACGAGTTTTTATCTTGGATTATTGTGTTCTTATAAAATTGCATAAATTTTATGGAACCAAACAAGGCCTAAGTGTTAGTTATTCTCTTTCTCGAAACTACATAACTAATAGTGATGTATATTTTTGCAGAATGATTTAATCCATGCTTGGGGATTAGATATGCAACTCGGTTATTGTGCACAGGCAAGTTTTCTCGACTAGTCGAATGTATATAATTATTTATCAATCAATATATTTCGTCGTATAATAATAATAATTAAATTAATAATAAATAATCTTATTTTATTACAGGGTGATCGGACGGTTAAAATCGGGGTGGTCGATGAGGAGTATATTGTTCATCTTGGTCTTCCTACGCTCGGTGTCTTTTCTGATCGAAATAAGGTGTTTTATTTTATTTGCATTTAAATTTAATTGCCTTATTTTCTCTTCGTTTTACATATCGTAAAAAGTTACTCGACTAAATAATTAAGCCATTTTTTTTATTATATACATAATGGATTCTTTATGAATGCAGACGAACACTGAATCGATTGACCAATCAAAAAACTTGGTGAATTCGGAATCGAACAACTTCGATAACAGATCCGCGGTAAGTTTTTCCCGTTATTAATTGCATTCATCACCCCTGTGTTTACTCTAATTGTTAAAAATGTCGTCGTGTTATTAATATTAGCAAAACCCCCCATGTTATGCAATTTTTGTATCAAATTACCCCCTAAAACATCACCATTTAGGGGACTTTGTGGTAAAATAAAATGCATTATAGGGTTTTTTTTAGCCATTATTTATTTATCTTTTGGTTTATTTACGCACATTTCTCCGACTATTCATTTCTTGTAATTAATTATATGCAGGTTCGTAGACAGTCGTATACTGAAATGGGGATATTTAGGAATAGATGGGCAAAGGCGGTAAACGAGGACGAATGTTGGATCGATCCTTTCAAACAATCACCACCACTTCGAAAACCCTAAACGAGAGCTCGGCTTTTTTCTTGAGGGCGTTTTCGACTTTTTTGTCGACTAAAAAGCTTACGGAAAATCCCAGTCATTGTACAGAGTACAGACTACAGAAGTATAGAATGCATCCCTTCAAAGAAAAATCTTGATCCATTTTCTTTTTTTCTTTTTGTTTGTAATTTTAGGGAATTTTATTTTCACTTTAGTCAAGTTGTGAAGTAAATATTTATTTAGGTTTGATTGTAGTATAGTGTATTTTCTATTTTACATGTCTATTGCCTTGGTTTGTGAAATTGCATAAGAAATATAAGTATTTTCGGTTTATTTTTGCTATTTTTGGCGTTTAATTATTATGGAAAGTATTATTTTTTAAAATTAGGATAAATTACGGCCAACTTCTGTGGTAAGGTCAAATTACAAAAAAAATCTTTTTATTTGGATAATTACAATCATTCCCAACTATGAATCTTATTACAAGTTCACTTTTATGCAGATAAATTCACATAATTTTTGACAAATTCACATAATCTTCTAGATTCAGTGGAATGTTCTTTAACTTGTACTCGTTTTGTGCAAAAATACAATTTCCGATGCATAGTGTCATATATCTCCTTGTAAAATGTAAATAAATTTTATTTTTATTTCCTCTTTTTTAAAAACATCTTGTAATAATACAATGTTGAACATTTGTTTAAATTAGGTGTGGTAAACGAGCCGAGTCGAACTCGTAAGCCCGATGAGCCGGCTCGAAAAAAGTTCGACCTCGAGTTTTTGGAGCTTTCTGGCGCGTCGAGCTGGAACTTTGTTTTAGTTGTTCGTGAGCTCACGAGCCGACTCGCGAACCTTATTTTTTCTATTTTATATATTATTTTTTATTTAAGTAATATAAATTATATAAATAATATAAAAAAGAACATATAGATATTAAAAAATATAATATAGATCACAAGTTATTTTTTATTTTGTAATTTATTTTTTTATAATCTAAAGGAGAAAAGGAAATTGTTATATATCACCTATATTAGCAGAGCGTCTTCACGACCAAAAGAAGGGTTTAAGCCTTCTCCCCCTCTTCTCTGCAACTAGGGTTTCTAATCTATACATACACACATTCTGTATCCATTTCCGCCACCCATCACTATGACTCTCCGTCGCCTCCTCCTCCTCCGCTCCCTCCGCCGTTACTCCTCCACTCCCAACCCTTTCCCCTTTCATTCCCCCACTTCTTCTACCTCCGCCGCCGATATCCCCAATCATCCTCCCCCAAATTCTCCATACCCTAATTCCCCCACTTCCGCCTCCAACGCCGCCGCTTCCGATCAATACTACTCCTCCAACACCGCCGCAAATGCATTCAACTATCATCAGATCACGCCGGCGAATGATGCTTCGAATTACCACCAGTACAATCGTCAAAACGCGTCCGCCTCCGGTGGTCCTAATTACCAGTACAATCCACCGAACACGGCTTCCTCCGGTGGATCAAATTACCAGTACAATCCTCCGAATACGGCTGCCTCCGGCGGATCAAATTACCAGTACAATCCTCCGAACACGGCTGCCTCCGGCGGATCAAATTACCAGTACAATCAACCGAACACCGCTGCCTCCGGTGGATTAAATTACCAGTACAATCATCATAACAACCCCACCAACGGCGCATCAAATTACCAATACAATCATCAGAGCATTCCAAACGGTGCGTCAAATTACCAGTACAATCCTCAACAGACGGCTGCCTCCGGTGCGTCAAATCACCAGTACAACTCTCAAAATACATCCACCTACAACGCTGCCGCCGCTTACGAAAGTCCCCAGTTTTCCACCTCCAACGCGGCTTCCGCCACCAACAACCACTTCTCCCCCTCTGATGCCACGTCCGCCGCCGCCACCACCAACAACTTCCAGTTCCCAGTGTCCAATACCGCCGCTGCCACCACACCATTTGTTCCCCAGCGATCATACGGCTTCTCTTCCGCTGAGGAAGCTGCCGCCGAACGCCGCCGCCGCAAGAGGAGACTTAGGATCGAGCCGCCGCTCTATGCTCTCCGCCCCAACCCTCAACCCTCTCCGAACAACAACGCCAACAATCCTGACAAGCCCCGCCTCCCTGATTCTACCTCCGCCCTCGTGGGCCCCCGCCTCAACCTGCACAACCGCGTCCAGTCCCTCATTCGTGCAGGTGACCTCGATTCTGCCTCCTATGTCGCCCGACAATCTGTTTTCCAGTCAGTGCGCCCGACCGTTTTCACTTGCAATGCTATTATTGCAGCAATGTACCGTGGCAAACGCTACAACGATGCTAAAGCCCTGTTTCAGTACTTCTTCCGCCAGTTCAATATTATACCAAACATTGTTTCATATAATAACCTCATTGTCTCTCACTGTGAGTCCAATGAGATAGACGATGCACTGAAAGTTTACGCCGACATTCTTGAAAATGCCCCTTATAGCCCGTCGGCTGTTACCTATCGCCACCTAACAAAAGGGCTTATTGATGCCGAACGCATGAACGATGCAGTGGATTTGCTTCGTGAAATGCTGCACAAGGGCCACGGTGCCGATTCTTTGGTTTTCAATAACGTGATTCTCGGTTTCTTGAATTTGGGTAACTTGGACAAGGCTAACGAGCTGTTTGACGAGTTGAAGGAGCGGTGCACAGTTTACGACGGGGTCGTAAATGCAACATTCATGGAGTGGTTTTCAATCAGGGAAAGCCCAAGGAGGCAATGGAGTCTTACAGAGATTTGATGTCGAGGAATTACAGGATGGTGCCCGCCACTCGAAATGTGCTTTTAGAAACTTTGTTGAAGCACGGTAAAAAGAAAGAAGCATGGGATTTATTCAACGACATGTTGGACGACCACACACCACCGACATTCCAGGCGGTGAATTCAGAAACTTTCAATATGATGGTCAACGAATGCTTTAAAGAAGGTAAGGTCGAAGAGGCGATGGAGGTTTTCAAGAGATCGGGTAAGGGAGTAAAGTCGAAGCCTTTCCAAATGGATGTGGCAGGTTTTAACAATATGATGACAAGGCTGTGTGAGCTTGATATGATGGACGAAGCGGAACAATACTACAAGCAGCTATGTGACAAGTCATTATCGCCAGATGTTAATACGTATAAAACAATGATCGATGCGTATATTAAAGTGGACAGAGTTGATAATGTGGTGGAGAAGTACGCGAAAATGGTTGAGGTGGGTTTGAGGGTTATCCCTCCTTACGCGAATAAGTGGTTTGGTTTCTTGATTGAGAAAGGCAGAGCTTCTGATTGTTTACCGATTTTGTCGAAAATGGTTGATAAGGAACCGAAACCTGATGTGACGACTTATGATATTGTGATAAGGGGTCTTGTTGAGGAAGGTAATTTCGATGCCAGTGCCAATCTGCTTAGAGAGATGACGAACCAAGGTATTGGAACTACTGCTCCGCTTAAAGCATTCGTGTTGGATGTTTTCGAGAGACAAGGGCGGCGTGTGGAGATCGAGAATATTCTGAACAGGTTTCAAAGTCCTTATCAGCCTCAGAGGTCTTATCTACCACCGCAAGGTCCGCCTAGGGTTGAGCACGGAGGAAGAAACCCTACGATGCCATGGCAGACAGCTTCTTCTCCTTCCTCGCCTCCTCAGACGCCTTATTCGAATCAATTTGCAGAACATACGCGTGGGCTCCACATGGCAGAACAGGTGCAGGAAGTGGAGTTTCCTCTTGCAGCAGGACAAAATGCTGCTTAATGTGCAGGTGGATTATTTTCGTATTTATACGTTTTTTTTTACAGCATGGCCGATTTTTTTCTCCGTTAGGACTGCGAAACGACATGAATATTGATCATGAGAAAATTTTGTAGTAGTGTGTGCTCATAGCTTCTGGGAGCTGCAAACATTATTCTTGCATTTGGCATTAAACATTTTATTATATGTGTAATTTGTCAATGTAATGATTTAAGGGGTCTCTTGAGTAATATAAATAATTTCGTTTTCATTCGTTGGTCATCTTCGTGTATATTTTTACGGGCTCGTTTTATATTTCGAGCTCGTTTAGGAAGGATGTGATTACATAAGATATATGGTTGCGTTACATACATATATTCATGTATTGTAAGTGATTTGTTATCTCTATTTGTATAAAATTTGTTCATGCATAATTCATTATCGAACAAATTGTTCGATTATCGAACAATAAATCACGGGTCTCGACTCTCGATAACATACAACAAAGAAAATCAGAAAATGCAGTTTCTTTACTGCCTCATCCATTCATAAAAAATGATTTGGCAAATTCTCTCTTTCCATCAAAAGCAGTCACAACAACTGACAAGTATACAAAAACCTTCCTCTTTATGTTCTATGTATTTTCACTACCGAAAAAAATCGGACCGAAAACAAAATCGCAAGTGTTCCACCAAATGGCGCGTTTTTTTTTTTCCTTTTCTTTTTTAATAAATAAAAGCAAATATCCAATAACTTCAAAATCCCATAACTTGCGACGAAATACTAAGCAGAGGCTCTAAAGCACTCTCATCGAACTTCCTAGCAAACAGATAACAAATGTTCGTCTTTTCTGAGTTGTAAGAACACATCGTACCGTTATTCCTAAGCAACTGCAAGAACTGCGTCGTTATATTAACTGCAGTGAATGTCGCAGGGTGCGGGCCCATCATTGACCAGTCAACGTAAGTCAACGAGCGGTTCGAATTGAGTGCCCCGTAAAATTTCCTCACGTACGTCGGAATATAGTGCTCGTCGGGGTAACACGAGGGTCTACAGTACTTACGGAAGATCGAATAGTACTTGAAATCGGCCACTATTTTCACAGCGAGGGTGCGGTGTGCCTCGAACCACTGAGACCCTTTTCGCCACTCCGCCAAACGGATATCGGGCTGCATCCGACGGTTGTACCTGCCCCGCCCGTATCTAGACGGGTCGTCGTACGAGTCGATGAAGCTGTGGAGTGATTCGGTTAGGTATTTGTGGACGGTGGCAAAGTTGTAAATAGGTATGCATCTCTCTGATAGGAGAACAAAACGCTCGTTGGAAAAATCGAGAAGGGCGTTTGCTAGTAGACGTTTTTCTGCGTCCACGAGTGAGACTGACCCCCATTGGACATTCTGCAAAATAAAATAAAATGAAGAAATGTATTTTTTTCTTAGCAATGTTTTTCTCATTTTTTTTCTTTTCAGAGTTTATAATAAGATTAATAAAAGGGCAATGTAAGCATGCTACCTCAGTTCTTGGCAAAAAAAATTCTTTTCGAATTTATTGCTTTTTAGTACCCCCTATGTTATATCGAATTGCTAAAAAACTTGTAGTTTTATAAATATTAGCAAAAAACCCCACTATGATGCATTTTTTTTAGCACACGACCCCCTAAGTGGTGAGTATTTAGGCATCATCTCAACATTTTTCATCTTTTTCGTCAAATTATAATCATCTCAAGCATATTTTCGAGAATCTTGATACATACACAATCAGAGGAACTACCGTTCATTATTTACCATCTACAATATCGGAAAATCGAAACCAGCAGAATGATTCTTAATATTTCTTGCTGAAACAAAAAAAATAAAAATACTGATGAATAATGCATAGATTTTTAAAGAACAACAATTATTCTATACGACTCCAGTCATAAATTTAAGGGCAAATTACGGCCACCCCATGAGGTAAGGTCAGATTACGAAAAAACACCCTCTTGTTTGGGTAATTACAACCACCCCCCCTCAACTATGTATTATTGTCTTACGAAAAAACCCATCCTTCAGTAGGTAAATTTGACGCCACAAGGGTGGACGTGTAAGACAATACATAGTTGGGGGTGGTTGTAATTACCCAAAGAGAAGGGGGGGTTTCGTAATTTGACTTTGCCTCAAGGGGTGTCCGTAATTTGCCCTAAATTTAAGGGTGACTCAGGAAAATGAGTTATCGAAGAATGAAGAGAAAAATGTGAGTAACAGGGTCCTAAGAAACAAGTCGTATAACTTATCGAGGCATAAAAACCATATCCAAAATGTCTTCTCGATTGCCTGGTTTTCTGTGGTAGTATACTAATAAACGGTTCTTAGTACGGAAATGTTTTCATATTTGAAGTCTGAAAAAAACATATTTGCTTTCGTATTCCCTAAGATACTTCAGGAAAAATGTTAAACTGAATCCTGTTTTTAAAATATCAACCCTGTTTTTAGAGCCGAAAAATCGGACTATTGCTGACTCTCGTGCAAGGATTTCATTAGAGAAACAAAAACCCGTCAAGCAATCCTCCGAGTATAGCATTTCAATCTTGAAATCGGGTAATCTCAAGACGCTACAATGGACACAACTAAGTTCACTCTACTAAAGCCAATTCCCATGTCGGGCTAAGATCGAAAACCGTAAATAAATTACAAGATTTCACCTTTTTTACCATATAATAGAAAGTTAGCAGCAAGTCTCGTCTTCTTGATTTGCCATTACAATGTTGAACGATACCTAGTCAATATTGTACGAATTTCGATGCAAAGGTCATACTTGTTTCTAGATTAATAGATGCACTAGTTCTAGTTAGTTAGATTAAGATTTTAACCTATCAACCTCTTAACATAAAAAAAAAATAGCAATCGTCTCACGAATTTATACCTGACTCGGAATCTGGCGCCTGTAAAAGACAGATGAAACGGCCACATTGAGCTCAAAACCAGGGGCATGCACGTAAATCGAGTACTTCTCCTTATCCTGTCCACTAAAGAACCTCTCCCACAACGGCAAGAGGGGCAACGGCCCCCGAGTTAGAAACATGAAAGCCACCCTCGGAACTCTCTTGAACGGGAAATCTTCCTTTTCGGGCACAAGCGAAGCCCTCCAAAACAACTCATCATCCGTCATTCGGTGGGTCAAACTCTTTGGCCGGATAAAACTCTCCATGCTCAAGCAATCCCCCTTTTCGCAGTTGGCCCCTTTCTTCTCGGCATCGTGGCTGAATTGCTCGGTGTCGAAATAATGGCTCTTGAAATCGAACTGATCCCCTTGGAAAGTGAAGTACTTATTGATGTTCGAACTGGAAACAAGTCCTATAACCATGCCCACAACGAAAACTATCAAAATTGAGATCAGTTTCAACATGCTTATCGAAGAATCCGCCATGGATATCGATACCGGAGCACTGAATCGACCGTCCGCATCTTCTTTCTCCTTACTCCTCGCCATTTATCACCCCCCCTTTTTTTCTCTCGCTCTCTGTCAGTGCCCTTTTCCGCTACGAAAATTAAATGCTCCACCGGATTGCGAAAAATTATATCACCAGTGAAGCCAAGATTGCATCTTTACAATTAATTCCAACAACCCACAACCAGAATCAACCAAAACCCGAAAAACCCACGTCGATAAAACCCGAAAAATTCAAAAAAAAAAAAAAAAAAAAAAAAACCCAGCTCACTAAATCGAGTTGCTAATCAGAAAATTGTCACAGTGCATGAGAAATTCCACTCAGGCTTGAACAAAATACCCAAAAAAAAAAAAGTCCACTTTGAAAATTCAAATTCGTTCTCAGACTAGATAGAAAAAATCAGTCAATTCACCGAGTAATAAATAAATACTCTTGCCAACTTTGGAGTTATGATCCGGATCTTCACCGAATATAATCACACATAAAAACCAAGAGAATCAATCACATGAAAAAGGAATAAATTGCAGGGTTTACGCTGAGAATCGGATCTTCCTTTCCACCGGATTGTGATTAATCGAGTCGATCGTACTGTGTGTAATGCGAGAAAAAAGTGAGAATTTGATTATGGAGGCGGCAATTAAGAAGTAGAGAGACAGAAAAAAAATGGTGATCTTGGTTGAGTTTGGTCAAATCGGAGCGTAATTCTCATAATCCGATTTTAATGGTGGGACAAATACAAGAAGATCCTTTTTTCCCCCTTTTGGGTTTTAATTTAGTAATAAATCCCTAAATTTGGTGAAAGAAGAAGGAAATGGAATGAACGTGATTAAGGAATCTTATGGGAGAATTACAATTTTTTGTCCTTTGTCTTTGACCCGATTTTACTTTCGGTCCCCCTTGTTCCAAAATGAACAAAGTTCACCTCCAAGTTTCAATTTTAAACACTTTTGATCCCCGCCGTTACATGTTCGTTAGCAAGTAACGGAAAACACTATTTTGGGGTAAAAATTTAAATTCTTTTGGGGTGAAAATAATTATAAATTTAAAATAGACTACTCATAATCAAAATTTTAATAATATTAAGTATAATGAAATTTATTTTCTATTATTAAAAAAAATAATGATAAGTAGTATAATTAAAACTAATATTAAGTATAATTCACAATAATTTATTTAGTTAATTTGGTTTTTTATTATTAAAAACAAAAGACTCGATAGGGTGGTCTTGGATTTTTTAATTACCATTGTAGGGATACTATTTTTTCTTGTGTTAGGCCCACAAGATGTTAAGGAGGCCCAAAACGTTTTATTATAGTGGATAATAAAATCTTTTTGGCCAAAATAAAAATAAAAATTTATCATTAAAAAATCAATTGTAAGTAGTATAAAATTAAGTTTAATTAAAAATAATTTGTTTAATTAATTTTTTTATTATTAAAACTTTAATTACAAGTAGTATAGTTATAATAATATTAAGTATGATAAAAAATAATTTGTTTCCTTAATTTCTTTTTTTATTATTAAAGATTATAAATAGTCTATTTTAAATTTATAATTATTTTTCAGCCCCAAAATAATTTAAAATTTCAGTTTTCACCCCAAAATAGTGTTTTCCGTTACTTGCTAACGGTAGAGACCAAATGTGTTTAAAATTGAAACTTGGAGGTGAACTTTGTTCACTTTGGAACAAGGAGGACCAAAAGTGAAATCGGACCAAACATGAGGTACCAAAAGTGTAATTCTCCATAATCTAAGTAATCGGCATAATGTCCTTTGAGTTAAGATAAAAATCCACCAAACTAATTTTCTATTAGTTTTGTTAATTTGGATTAGATGAGACGATTAGCTAATTCGTGATTACTTAGGTGGTGATTTCCAAAACTTATTTAAAAGTAGAAGTTATAGATTGTGAGTTAAATTGAAAGTGCTTATTTGTAAAAGTTATGAGTTTTTTTTTGCAAATTTGCTGGAAAATTAACTTAAATAGAAAATGTAAGGTCATGGGTGCTTAACAAATTATAATTTAAAGTTGCTTATTTTAAGAAAAGTAGAAGTAAAAATTCGTTTTACAAACACTTAAAAATAGATTATAATCAAAATAAAAAAAAAGTTCATAGTCTATTTGTAATAGCTTTTGCAAACAACACCTTAATTTATTTTGGTGGGGTGATTTGTGAGACCCCAACATATTTAGGTATATTAGACTAGATATGTCCCGTAAGGACGAACGATTGAAGTAAGTGAGCATGTGTCAATTTAACCATATTCAAATCTCATTATCATAGATCCTTAGGTCAAGTTTGTCAAACATGGTTAGCCTAGTATGATTTACGTACGTCTCTCGTATAATTTACAAACTATTATACGAGATTTTAGATTTACCCGGTGCAAATATATAGATCGGTTTCTTCATTACAAAAAAGAATATTAGACTAAGTTATTATACGAGATTGTAGATTTACCCAATGCAAACATATTATAGATCGATTTCTTCATTACAAAAAAGAATATTATACTAGATCTGCCATATTTTGTTTTATTAGTGAAACCCTTCATTTAACAGTTAATTAATATTTAAACATTTAATATGTGTTATAGCTATATAACCCTTCAATTATCTTAAACCTAAATTTTCTTAATCAGATTCCAAATCATGTCGCTCATTTTCACCCACTTATATCTGCAGATGTTTTGATCTTTTTTCCAATTCTGGATCGTTCTCCATTATCTCCGACGAAATTGATGAAACGACTTTATTGCCGTTAGTCAATGTTCTTATTTCTACTTCGTTGTTGCCCCTGCCAACCCCTCCCGCTTCCTCTATCCCTATTTTTTATGTCACAGTTGCGAACTCGTCCTTCATCTGCCACTATAAATCATCATCTCCACCGTAGAGTGGGGCGTCGCGAGAAACAACATTAGAAAAATTTATTCTATTTACGTAAGCATCGAATTGGTGGAAGACTGGTTGGAGCGGGGGCTTTTGTTCTTGAAAAGCATACGCAGGTTGATCCACTAATCAAGCCTAATGGAATATGGTCCAACTAGGCCCAACTAAAGAAATTCTTGGAGAATTCTAAAATCCTTAGTAAAGATCCTTAGATGATCTTTCTTTGTATATATTTGATAGGAGATCGTAGGAGTTAATCTTAACCACCAGATCAAGATTATTACCACTCGTTGAAGAGGGAGAGTTGTATAAATAGGACTAGTCTCATTGATTTGTAATTATCCAAAAATCCATTCAATGAAGTATTATTTTAACATTCTCTAATATTTATGTTCCTTCTTAAAGGATAGTTACTAGTTACCCAATTCCTCTCTTGGTGTCTCGAATCCATGACCAAATAGTCATAAATGTAAGGTGATACTTACCAACAGACTACCTTGTCTTGACGTGTTCCTTCCTACACACTTGCACACACTCTTGTGTACTTTCGAGTGAGGTTGACTTAGCATATTTACGATGACGAAGAACGAACAAGCGCGATGGACGTTAATTCATGGCTAAGTGCCACATATTAATTGATCGAAATTTAAGTCCATGAGACGGGTACATGCGATTTCGAAATTGATTTTCGAAAATTATATAGTTGTTTCGATACTTTTATAATTGATTTCAATAATTTATAGTTAATTTTAATTTTTTTTGTATCAATTTCAATACTTTTATAATTGTGTTTGTAGTGGATTACGCTGGTTTAATAAATGAAAATGGCAAAATCCACTATTCCGCATAGTGGATTTAATTATTTTGTTGGAAATGTTGTTCGATATATAATAGTTTCTCTCGGTCCAAATTCGGTAAAGTAATTCGCTAAATTAATAGAAATTCTCTAGTCAGACTGTATTAATTTATAGAGATATAACTGTACAAGTGTTTGTTTTTGCTCAAATTTAATAATTATTAATATTAATAAAACAAGAAAAAGGTCATACTTGAAAAAAGAAAAACATGATTTGTATATTAGGCTACTCGTAAATTGTTAGCATTCCGATACGACGTCGTATAGCCCTAACCCCAACCGTCACGGTAAAAATTGCAAACAATTCATCGTCTGCCTCTTTACACTCTTTTCCGCCTCCACAAGAAGCAGAGCAGCACAAACTTTTAACGAACACTTCCTTCCGCCGCCGCCGCCACCGCCTGCTGCTCCTCGGCCGCCTTCAGGTGAGCTCTCCCATCCTCAATTTGCTTCATATCCGCCGCCACTACGATTAATACCTAAAATTTGAAGTAAAATTCAAACGTAAAAAAAAAATTCAATTGTTTTCTCCCTAAATTAAAGCCCTTCGAGTCCGCGGCAGCCGTCGTTCTCAAAGGAAAAACCCTAGGTTTTGCTTGTATTTACACATTAGTCCTACGGGGAACGGAAAAAAAAGCTCTATTTTGCTAATTAATTAATTTTGCGGAGTAGGAGTTATGGGGTCAGTGAAGAGGAAGTCTACGAAAGAGGCGGGGGAGGATTACGGGACTCCGCCATTAAAGCAGCAGAGAGAGAATGACTCGGTGGTGGGGATAACAGACGAGCCAGTTGCTTGTCTTCACGACGTATCGTATCCGGAGGGGTATGTGCCGCGTGCGTCAAGTTCGAGTGTTCTTAACAACGAAGACTCGAAACCGGCCAAAGAATTTCCTTTCACTCTTGACCCTTTTCAGTTGGAAGCTATTAAGTGCCTCGACAATGGAGAATCCGTCATGGTATGTTTTTTCTAAAGTCACCAGTTGGAATGAAGTTTGAATCTTTTGCTCGATTTTCTGATTAAACTTATAACCGAGTGTTTGAAAATATTGATAGGTGTCTGCGCATACTTCTGCTGGTAAAACAGTTGTAGCGTTGTATGCCATTGCTATGTCGTTGAGGAACAAGCAGCGTGTGATATATACATCACCGATTAAGGCACTTAGTAATCAGAAATACCGAGAGTTCAAAGAAGAGTTTTCAGATGTGGGGTTGATGACAGGTGACGTCACCATCGATCCCAATGCTTCTTGCTTGGTGGGTTTGATTTACATCTGTATATTTATGTCTTGTTTTGGACTGTTGGTTAGCTATAATTCGGAACCTTTTATTTCAGGTTATGACTACAGAAATCTGGCGAAGCATGCAGTACAAAGGATCGGAGGTTATACGGGAGGTAGCTTGGATTATTTTCGATGAAGTGCATTACATGAGAGACAGAGAGAGAGGTGTAGTGTGGGAGGAGAGTATCGTTATGGCACCAAAGAACTCTCGGTTTGTTTTCCTCTCAGCTACTGTGCCGAATGCGAAGGAGTTTGCTGATTGGGTTGCAAAGGTCCACGTGACTTCTTTTTCCTCTTCTTATTGTATTCTGATGCTTCCAAACTACAAATAAAGGACTCAATCGAAGCTACAGAAAACTACAAATGTTTTTAAGACTAGGTTGATAGATATATTTTTATCCTTTCAGTAGGCAATGAATCTATATTTGGTGTCTTTCTTTAATAGAATTAAGCTATTATGAGTAACAAATAAAAAAACAGACATGTGATTTTGCTGGATTTTTATTTTTGTGTGGTCTGATGCAACCAAAATGATCCTTATGCAACAAAATATTTGTCATAGTGAAGTCCTTAGTCGTATCTGGTTAGGGATAAGGTCTGCTGCAACCAAAAATCTCTTAGCGACGAAATGTTTATCACACAGGAATTTTTAGGCAATTCTAATCAGGGATACATTTTAGCTCTTTCCGTTGGTTTTAGATGACTTCATTTGTGATCATATGAGGACATAACACTTTACAACTAGAGGTAAGAGAAAATATTGATAAGCTTTCTTGGAAAGGGAGAAAATGAGGGTAAAAAGTTGTTAAAATGACGCATTTAGATTTCCTTCGTTGATTTAGATTGTGACTTGTTTTGAAAATTGAATAGAAGTAAAGAAAAGGTTTTTCCACATATTTTTCGGTGATGTTTTTGATCTCTACTCCTCTTCTCACTCTATAATTGGTTTTTAATACATTAGTTTCTGCACAAGGCATTCTATCTACTAGAGTCTTTACAACAAGAGTTGCTTCTAACTAATGTCTTTTCTATGCTTTATTGTTATGCGGTGCATTTTGTTGGTTTAGAGTTTAGATTCTTGAAACATGCATGGATATGCTAATATCTGTTTTCAATAGTGCAGGTACATCAGCAGCCATGTCATATTGTTTATACTGATTATCGGCCTACACCCCTTCAGCATTACATTTTTCCTTCTGGAGGCGATGGTCTTTATTTAGTGGTTGATGAAAACGGTAAGTTTCGAGAGGATAGCTTTCAGAAAGGTTTAAATGCACTCATTCCGAACAATGATGACAGAAAGAAGGAGAATGGAAAATGGCAGAAAGGCTTAGTTGTGGGTAAATCAGGAGAAGATAGTGATATATTTAAGATGGTGAAAATGATCATTCTCCGACAGTACGATCCTGTCATATGTTTCAGTTTCAGCAAAAGAGAATGTGAATTGCTTGCTATGCAGGTTTTTAAATTCTTCTTTACCTACTATTGATACTGATTAAGAAAATCGTGTACCCTGTATTATGAGCATAGCATAGCATACATATAATTATATTTACTCATATATGTTACTCATAGTCAATTAACAACAACTTATTTGTTCAACAATTCAAAGGGTTATTATAACAGAAAAATATCATTATTCAGCATACAATACTTAATTCCATCAAAATTAGCCTTAATGTCAATAAACCCATGCTAAATTGTTGATTGTATTTTTTTTTGTAGCAATTATTTGGCTATTTTGGGTGTTAGTACATTAACATTTTCTCTTTCCTGGTAGATGGCTAAATTGGACCTAAACGATGACGATGAGAAACTAAACACAGAAACCATTTTCTGGAGTGCTATGGACATGCTGTCAGATGATGATAAAAAGTTACCACAGGTTAGTTTGTCTGATTATTACCGTTATCATAATTCTTTTTCTTCATACTTGTTTTTATGTGTCGTTTGTTGACCTTTTTCCAGGTTTCAAATATGCTTCCTTTGTTGAAACGAGGAATAGGTGTACATCACTCTGGTTTGCTTCCCATACTGAAGGAAGTCATTGAAATCCTGTTCCAGGAAGGATTCATCAAGGTCTCCTGATAAATTCTTTTTGAATAAATAAATCCTGCATGTTCGAGTAATTGCTGCATACTTTTTAACGTTATTATTGATACTTTTTTAATCCATTTCGTGTTTTTTAGTGCTTGTTTGCCACAGAGACCTTCAGCATAGGGCTGAACATGCCTGCCAAAACTGTTGTCTTCAGTAACGTTCGCAAATTCGATGGAGATAAATTTAGGTGGTTATCGAGTGGGGAGTACATACAAATGAGTGGTCGTGCTGGTCGTCGAGGAATTGATGAACGCGGGATATGCATTCTTATGGTCGATGAGAAGCTTGAACCTTCTACAGCAAAAATGATGTTAAAAGGAAGTGCAGATCCTTTAAACAGGTGACCTCTCTAAATTATGATTCAGTATCAAAAGCAAGTTCATCATTGTTATAATATTTAATCTCGAGGAATCCTTTTGCTGCACATTTCGTGGCAGTTATCTTTTGTTTGAGAAACTATGAAATACAGTTTCATGTGTTATGTCCTTAAAATGTTTGTGTTTCTGGACTATGTTGATTATTTCTTTCCGGCTTGAATATTTTTTAGATGCATCATTTATGTAACTTACCGCACGTGGATGAACATTTTCCAATGCTATTTGAACCCTGTTTGAGATATCAGATTGATTTGGAATTTACTTTCGTAATGCTTTTATTGCTTCCGATTCCCATGAAATATACAGGGATGGAATTTAGTAGTTTTGCACTAGATGTTCTGTTATCCTGTCGTTTATACTGTGAGTGAAATTTTCTTGAGTTGAGATTGAAATCGTTGATATTTTGCTGTCAGCTGATAAAAAAATATCCAAATTTTATCTGTGAAAGAAGTTAGGTGTGATTTGTTCTACCTCTGATAGATTTGTTTTCTTAAATCCAGTGCATTTCACTTAAGCTACAACATGCTTTTGAATCAAATACGATCCGAAGATGGTGATGCCGAAAACCTGCTTCGTAACTCTTTCTTTCAGTTTCAAGCTGATCGAGCCATTCCCGAGCTTGAGGTTCGCAATTTGTAATTTGTCTGCCATTATAACATTATAATTATTATTATTAATTTTTTTTTAATGTAATCTGTTCTAAGTGCCCGACTTTGTCCTTGCAGAAACAAGCAAAAGTTCTCGAGGAGGAGAGGGAGTCCATTACTATTGAAGAAGAAGATAGCCTAGAAAATTACTACTCATTGCTACAACAGTATAAAGCTTTGAAAAAGGACATATGTGAAATAGTGTTTTCTCCAAAACATTGCTTACCCTTTCTGCAGCCTGGCAGGCTTGTCTCTATCCAATGTACGAAAAACGATGAAGATTCCTCGTCTTTCTCTATGAAAGATGAGATCACATGGGGAGTCATCATCAATTTTGAGAGGGTTAAAACAGTTTCTGAAGGTGAGATGAGATGTTCTTTAACTTGGTTTGTAACTTCGTATTTCTATTCAATTCCTAATCTTTGGTCTTAATTGTTGTAACACACTCAGATGATGCGAATAAAAAACCAGAAGATGCAAGCTATACGGTGGATGTTTTAACGAGATGTAGAGTGCATAAGGACGAAATTGCTAAAAAAACAATCAAGATCCTTCCTTTGAAGGATCCCGGTGAACCTGCTGTTATTTCAATTCCGATTTCACAGGTGAAGTTCTAACTATGCTGCAATTTTCAAATACTCTTTCGATTTAGTTAATCGCTGCATGGACTATATATATTTTTTTCTTTCACTTCTTACCTACTGCTGCAAAATTTAAACCGGAAATTGAATCAATCGATCCAAGGAACGATCACAGTGGAATAATAAATTTGTGATTGACTCGAGTTTTGCAGAAGTGAAATTATTGGTTCAACTAATTTGTTATCTGTTGTCCTTAGTATAATCAATACTGTTTTGCTGGGAATACTCTTTTATATTGCTAGAACTTTGAGTGGGTCACAAGCAATTTACATTGCATGTAAATGTGGCGATTGTTATTGTGACATGTGCAATTTTTTTTTCTTCATCAGATTGATAGTTTAAGTAGTATTCGGCTAATAATACCGAAAGATCTGCTGCCAGTAGAAGCTCGGGAAAATACATTGAAGAAAATTTCTGAAGTTCTCACTCGATTTGCGAAAGAAGGCATGCCTCGTCTGGATCCTGAAGATGACATGAAGGTACATTACCTATTTTGATTTCTCATATATATATATATATATATATATATATATATATATATATATATATATATATATATATATATATATATATATATATTAAGCAAAAAAGATTTCTTATCGGTTTTGGACTAAATTATCCGTTACCAATATTTGGTATGTATATTTCCAGGTTCAAAGTAGTTCTTATAGAAAAGCTTCACGAAGGATAGAAGCACTGGAAAGTCTTTTTGAAAAGCATGAAATAGCCAAATCGCCGCTGATTGAGCAAAAGCTCAAAGTTCTTCATTCTAAGAAAGAACTTACGACAAAAATCAAATCTATAAAGAAAACATTGAAGTCTTCCTCAGTTTTAGCATTCAAAGATGAACTTAAAGCAAGGAAAAGAGTACTCCGAAGACTCGGGTAAGATTTCATGAAATCGTATTGTGAATTTTTTCAATTTTTGCATCTCTAATTTGAGATTTCATGAAATTATTTTCAAGCTTTAAATGAACTTTAAAGTACGTTTAGTTACTATCGGACTTCATGTGATTTGCCCAGAGTCACTAATTTAAGTATGCTGAATTTCCATTCTCTAATTATCTGTCGTTTACGATAAAAATTATCTTCGTTCAAAAATGCTAAAAAATCTTGTAAACATACAGATATATTTCAAGCGATGACGTGGTGGAGTTAAAGGGGAAAGTTGCATGCGAAATTAGCAGTGCAGATGAATTGACTTTGACAGAACTTATGTTCAATGGAGTTCTGAAAGACGTAAAAGTGGAGGAGATGATATCTCTTCTCTCGTGTTTTGTGTGGCAAGAAAAGCTTCAAGAGGCTCAAAAGCCACGAGACGAGCTTGACTTGCTCTTCAAGCAATTACAGGATACAGCCGGTAAAGTGGCCAAGGTTCAGTTCGAGTGCAAGGTACCTTCAAACAAAACTTTCCTCTTTTTCTTTCATAGGTTGATTGAAAGTTTCAGCATCTAGTAAGTATTGTGCTCGCATATAGTTGGATTCATTCTGAATTAGTAGGAAGGAAAAATGGTATTCTTGTCAAATGAGTCAATTGTTGTAAAGTCTATTCATTAGGCAATAGAAAATGATGGATGGGAGGTAGGGGTGGAAATCGGACCGATCGGATCGGAATTAACACTTTTGGAAAATTTTGATTTTTTCCGGAAGTGATTAACTAATTCCAACTCCGTTCCGAAAAAAATCGAAAAAATCGGAAATTTTTGGATTTGAATCGGCAGAATTCGGAAAATTCCAATTATTTGTCACCTAAAATATAATATGGATAATAATATTGATATTATAAGTTATTTTTTGGAAAAAAAACTCAGAAGTTTCCGAATTAAAATCGGAATCTCTTATATATTCCCATTCTTATCCAACAAAATTCCGAAAAAATCGGAATTGGAATTTTCGAATTCGGAATGAAAAATATTGTTCCAAAATCGGAAAATTTCGGATCGGAATCGGCGGAAATTGGACATTCCGTTCCAATTTCCACCCCTTGATGGATGTGATTGCCCTTTCTTTTATTTGAATATCGATTTTTGCGGCTCATGTTTGTTCAATTAATTGACTAAAACAATTCTTAAATGTATGGTTTCTTTTCTTGACCCCAGGTACAAATTGATGTCGAGAATTTTGTGAGTTCATTCAGACCAGATGTTATGGAGGCCGTTTATGCTTGGGCTAAAGGGTCGAAATTTTACGAGATAATGGAAATGACTCCGGTTTTCGAGGGAAGCTTGATAAGGGCAATTAGGAGATTGGAGGAAGTTCTTCAACAGCTTATACAAGCAGCAAAATCAATCGGTGAGACAGATCTTGAAGTTAAATTTGAGGAAGCCGTCACTAAGATCAAGAGGGATATTGTCTTTGCGGCATCTTTATACTTATAGACTTATCGTATAATTTATCTGAAGTCGTGTTTTGTTATATTATTATCGATTTGAGGAAGCGTAAAGGGTAGCTGTGGAAGTTTAATTGACGGAAGAAAGAAAAGTAGTTAACGAAGCAATGAAAGACAAACTTTTTAGGCCTAAAAAATAGATATTTGCTACTGTGAAAAATCTGTACTGTTCGGAGTATAATTTTGAAGACGATTGGTACTGGTTAAGGAGGAGAGAGAAAGAGGCCCTCGATTTTCGGCCGAGAGTTAAAAGAGTCGAGTTGATACATTTTTACCGATATTTATTCGATTTTACTCCTCAAAGCTGTAATTGAGCTTCTCTTAAACAGTTAAACTCAATGGATCATTGAGATTTATTTTTGTTTCCTTTTTTTTCTTTCTTTCTTTTGTACTCATATTAGTGTTTGTATTGATCATCGAAAGTCGAAACTATTAAAAATTAGAATAACAGTTTTCTTGTGAAGCCTGTCGTAATCTTGCACCTGAGCTTTTTTTTTTCTTCAATCAGGATTAGGGGTTAAAATCGAACGGATCAGATCGGAATTAGTACTTTTGTAAAAATTCCGATTTTTTTGGAAGTGAAACTAATTCCAATTTTCCTGGAAAAATGAAAAAAAATTGGAAATAACAATTTTGGAAATTGGAAAAAAAATATTTGTTTCAAAATAGGTAAAATTTATTCGGACTTGGCTGAATTCGGAAATTCCAATTTTAATCACCCATTATTTAATATTTATATTATAGTGTAATCTTTGGAAAAAAAAAATTGAATTGTTTGGAGCTACTTTTCGAAAATCGGAATCATACACATTCCAATTTTGATACAAAAAAAAAAAAAAAATACAATTGAAAATAGGAATTTTCGGAATCAGAATGATATCGAAATCGGTAGAATCCAGAAATTCCGTTCTAATTTGCACAATGGACAGGAAATTAAATTACATTATTTACCCATCTTTTGACCTAACTTGTAATGCAATTCCCTTTATTTGAGCCAACAACTTCTCGAATATGAAAACAAGGAAATACGCATCGCACCAAATGAACACCGAAGCCAACAACACAACCGAAAGCTCCACCGCCTCTCTTCAATTTCTCGATCTTCGGAACAATGGCATCGTCGTAAATCGGGTTTTGAATTTCTTGATGGCATATTTCATGATCATCAAAATATATTTCTTCTTGTGTTGGAGAGAAATGCGAATGGGAATTGTTTGCTGAATTAGGCGAATTGGGCTCCTCATCGGATTCTTGAAATTGCAGATCGTATTCGAGCCAGGGCGGCAACGGCGGAGCTGACGGGAGAAGCGGCTCGTATTGGCTGTGGATCGGAGGATATGGCCGCGGCGGCGGTGGTGGTGGCCGAGATGGTGGAGGTGGTGATTCTGTTAGAAGGAACTTATTTTTCTTCTTTCTTGACCAGAACTTGAGTTTTTTCATTGATTTGATCACCTTCATCTTCTTTATCCACGGTGAATTATATGTATATATACGTATGTATGTATATGTATGTGTGTGTGTGTAAAGATTGGTGAAAGATTAAATTTGAGTTAAAAAGATGGAGAAAGTGTGAGTCTTTCCATTCCAGCCGTTAAGAAAGGCTATTTCAAAATTTTGTAGCCGTTGCTCTTTCAATTAGCCCCCACACTTGAAAAAAGACTTAAATAATTTATGGGTGTCAAAATTGCAATCCATTTCAAAATATAAAGGGTAAATTACACCCACATCCCTGAAGTATGCTAAAATAAATTTAAGGTCCATGTGGTATCGATAACTACACTCACCCTCTTGAAATATAGTTAGAAACTCTAATGAGATGATGCATCAGATACGTTATTGCGATAGAGTTCTACGGACTATTAGTATTAGGCATAATAACAACTATATCTAAGCATTTTGGGCAATGTGTATCTGAACCAATGTTCTGAAAACCGGACCGGACATTGAACCGGTCAAGCGACTGGGTAACGGTTGAACCGGTCAAGCGACTGAGTAACAGTTGAACCGGTCCGACCGGGTTTTTGAATTTCTTTTATTTTTAAATTATTTATATAACTTTAAAGAGGTTATGATATAAATATGCTTATATATTCATCATAAAACATCAATTTTAAGCTTTAATGATTATAATATAACTCAGTAATCATTCGCAATTAAAAAAAAAACAAAAAAATGCATACAATATGAAAATACAAATATTCAAATAATTTATTAAACATAAAATTTAAAAAAAAAATGAAAATCTATGATTAAATTTTCTATTAATAAACACGTAATTGAGTTTTATATGCTTCTAAAATACATTTGAAGTTTGACTAGTCAAAGTAAATTTGTGCGTTTAATCAAAATTATACGTAAAAAGAGAAAAAATAGTAAAACAAAAAAAAGAATTACTTATTAATCGCATGCCCAACCCTAATTTTCTCCTAGTCAAACCGCTCCACCGCACATGTTTAATTCTTTTTTGTTTACTCTTTTATTTTATATCTCTACCTGTTTAATTCTTCTTTGTTTACTCATTTGTTTTATATCGCCCAACAAATCAACTCCATCATCCAGCTCCACTCTAGCTAGCGTAATTATAAGTCTAAATTGATTGGTGCAACATATTGTAGGAAAAAATCAACACAATGTACTTGTATTGTAACTTGTGCTTTAAAGTGAGGTAGCTTGTTATATGCCATCCTTAATCTACTACTCCCAAGGAATTTGTTCTATAGTTTTACATATGAGACATTATACTTATTTATAATACTCTCTCCTCCTAATCATGATGAAAATTGATTTAATCTAAAGTTGATAAGTGATTTTCTAGAATTTTATAAGTAATATCTCCATAAAATGCCACTATATATTTATAAGTTTGTACAATTTCCACAAAATCCTACAAACTTATATAGAAAAATCATATAACTTAATAAAAATTGAGCTACTCATGAACTTTAAAATTGAATTTTTCTTTCAATTATTTTAGGGTATAAATCGGACAAATCGGATAGTAATTAGCACTTTCAAACGAATCATAATTTTTGTTTTCAAAGTGAAAGCTAATTCCATGTAAGTTCTCAATAGTTTCGGAAAATATCAAATTGTCGAAATTTGGAAAGAAAAAACCTTGTTCCACACTCAGAATATTTTGGATCTAAATAGGCGAAAGACGGGGATATATACAAGCCAATTTTTTTATTAGTTAAAGACCTCCAACATAAAAATACTAATTTACCCTTAATGAAATTCAAAACCAAATAAAAAACAAAAAACATTATAAATAAAAAATCGGCATTCTAACGCCGATTTTGACTTGTAAAGTCGACGTTGTGTCGCCGATTTGGTTTAACAAAAATCGGCATTATGACGCCGATTTTCGTGTACAAAATCGGTATGGGTAAACCGATTTGGGAAACCAATGAAAAGACACAAAAAAACCAATTTCAATCTCCATTTTTTTTCAAAATCGGCTAAAACATTGCAACCCAACAAGAAATAAGCATAGATTAATGTTCATCCACGCATATTTATCAAGAATCGATGGTCGATTAATGTTTTCGAATTTACGAACAAAAGTTTAGTAAAAAAAACTTACTTGTTGGTAGTGGTGGTGATGGTGCGGTGGGTGGGTCGTGGGTCGTTATCGGCGCGGTGGAAGTCTCGCTGGTCGGCGTCGCGGCGGTCTGGCGGCAGTCATGCGGCAGTCGTGAGTTTTTTTGTTTTTTTTTGGTCTTGAACAAATTAAAAATAAGGTTTACTTGTATTTGGGTATTATTTGTGGATGATGGTATATTCGTCCTCTTTGGTCTTGATGTAATAAAATTAAATTAATTTAGGCGCTTGAACTAATAAACCCCTTTATGTGGGTTTGAACTGATAAAAAGTTGAACTTGCATATATCCGCTGCCTAGGCGAAAATAAGAATTGTCTATTTTTTCTTCCACATGTGATATGTAAAATAAATAATAATATATCACCGGAAAATATTTGATGAATTTCTTTAGGTGTAACTTTCATGAATTTCTTTATGGAATTTTTGAAATTTAAAGATCGAAAATTGGAACCGCACATACTATAAATCAAAAACTGAAATGTTCGAAATTTGAAATTAAAATATTACTCCAAAATTGTATTTTTTTATAATCAAAATCGCTGGAATTCGAAAAATTGGTTCAAATTTCCATCTCCACTCGTATTGATGGAAGAAGTGGATTTACTTATATAAATGCAAAAAAGAGTGATTGACTTTGACATAGATAGTTAATTAGTTAAATTTCGTGTTGATGTACATATGCTTAAAATATTATGGACTCGAACTCATAATTAAAGACACGAACTCAATTATAAATTATAAGCCAATGCCCGATATATGCTCCCAAACGGTAAGGAAATTAGTCAAGCATATAAATAGCCTAATTATTATTAGAGGTAAATTAATTGATATTTTAATCATATCAAAATCGATAACTTAATCAACCGTTTTTCCAGTCGCAAAAGATTCTTTTCTTGAAAAGTTTCCGGTGATTCGATAATTTATAGAAGTTAATTCTTGTTGATTTATTATTGACAGCATCACATTGTATTATTATTGGACTGTCTATTTGGGTTTAAATTAACTCAATTATATTTAGGGCAAAATACACTTTTCCCTACTACTTTAGCTCGATATTACTTTATCCCATTCTATTATTGATTGCATCGATTTGCTCTATTGCATTTGAAAAATTGTCTCAATGTGGCATTCGTTGTTAGTTGTCAAACATTTGACCTTAACACTGTTTGTTCTAAGCACTAAAATTACAAAAAGGTCACCCCTCTCAGCTTAAATAATTATTTAAAAAAAAGTCAAGACAACGAGAAAGCTATATTGCACGGACACGGATACGTGGACACGGCGATACGCGGATACGGACACGGTGATACGACATTCCAAAAAAACTAGGATACAGACACGGGGATACGCATAAATATAAAAATATAAGGGTATATTTATAAATTATAAAAGTATAGGGGTACATTTATAAATTGTAAAAAAAATTTATAAGTCGCCAAATCGCATAAGAGAGTACTTTTTTTATCAGGGCTTTCTCTTAAAACATAAGAGCCGTGTCCCAACTTTTTTAAAATTACGGACACTGCCTGACACGGGTGTCCTACTTTTAGCAAAATTAGGACACGACCCGACATGTGTGTCCGGGTGTATCCAAGTGTAGGATACGGGAAACTCTTCACCTTCTAGAAGTGTATGTGCAACATATCGAGAAAGTATAGTGCACGACGACAACCATAATTATTTTTTATTTTTTATAAATTTTTTTATAATTATTTAAACTGAGAGGAGTAGATTTTTTGTAATTTCCAGACCTTACACCAAAATGTGTTAAGGTCAAAGGTTTAAAAACTAATGGCGATGGCCAAATGGAGACAATTTTTCAAGTGCAGACGGGTAAATCGATGCAATCGAGAGTAGAAGGGG